TAAATACTTCTTTTATCACACTTCATTTATAAATTTTCTAATCATTTAAACTCAACCTTTAAAAAAAATAACTTATTTAAATGTTGTACAAAAAATCCTTTTCACTTTTTAACTCAACTCAAAAATCAACATGAAACACCTTGAAAAGGGACGTGTGCATGTGTGTCTGTTTGTTTCTAAATAAATGACTCCTTAATTAGGAACCCTGTAATCATTATCGGAAGAGTAAACAGAAGCTGTTAAATGTTACGCAAATTTAAACTTTGTGCCATTTTAACAACATCTTTTACACTTACTCTCTGTGTGTCTCGCTTACCAAAGGAATGCATGAATAAATGTGTGACTAGAGGAGACTAAAGGTAACCAAGTAAAAGCTGCAATTATAAAACTTAAAAAACGTTTAATTTATGCCATTTTATAGCTGCAAGCGTTGAATTTACCAAAAAAAGTGAACGAGAGGAACTGAAACCAAAAACTAAAACTTAAACATAAGAGCAATAGAATGAATGCCAAATGTCTGTGTGTTAAATACTCCCAGGTATTTTAGTTGATTCATTTATATGTATATGTACATATAGCAGAGAAGTTGAGTTGTGTTAAGTTGCCTGCTTATAAAAATCATTTTAAATGCCAACACCTTGGCAGGAGTTTAAACAAAAACTATATATTTGCTTACTTAAACTCATATGGGAAATTTTGTTATAAAAAGAGTTAAGTATGTTTTGGTTTTTTTCTTTACTGATGTTGCTGGTCCAAAAAAGGATGCATTCAAAATAGTCAAACAACAATGAGCAGCAGCAACATTCTCATCCTCATCCTCATCACCATCATCATTATTATTAACAGCAACCAGTGAAATAAAACCCCAAGCTATTTATGAGGGTGTTGTATGTTGTTAACCACTGTTGTTGAGTTTAGTTCTTCTGTTCTGCTTCTTTCAGTTTATTTGCTCGTATATTTAAAGGGGTTGCTGGTAGGTGGATCCATACATTTGTTCAAAGTTTTCGCCCAAAAGTGCAACCGTATAATGATACAGTGTCAAATATACTTTAGTCTTTAATAATAATAATGAAAAAAACTAAATTTTAAGTTTTATTTTAGAAAAGTTTTAAATTGTATATGAAACCTGTAGCTTATAAAAAAATTGAAAAAGGGAACAAAAGGAAGTCTTAAGAAGATGCAAAATTTGGCCTGAGGGTTGTTTATAATGTGGAAAAAAAGTTATTTCAAAACATTATCAAGTCAATTTCTAGACAGAAGAGTTTTATTTTATATTTTTCTACATTTATTTATTATTTTTTTTGGCAAAAAAAGTTTTTTGAAATAAATATAATTTTATGTAAAACTTTTGCTATAGTTGTTATAAATAAGAAATATAGAAAAAGTTTGTTTTTGTAAAAAACTTTTTTTTAAAAGACGACAGCTATGTAAGTTGTCTTCAGTCTTATTATTAATCTAAGAATCATACTGTCTATACAGAGGGAAAAAGGAAATATACACGCCTGGTACCAAATTGACACCAAACTGTTTATAATTTTTCAATACCATCCGTTGTCAAAGTATATACATACGTACGACAACACTATGTAATGTTGACAATATTGCAACAATTCGTTGTCGAAATCTAAATTTTATACACATCCGTTGTCTAAATATTAACAAACGTAGTAAGCTCACTTGTAATTTTGACAACGCATTGTTGTTATTGCAACAACGCATTGTTGTCATTTCGATTACGCATTGTATCATTAATCGTTGTTATTTCGACAACTCAAGGTTCTGTTTGACAACATAGCGTTGTCACTTCGGTAACACACAGGCGTATATAATTTTAAAACGTCTTTTTTCCCTCTGTGCAGAAGTCATTGTAGTAATGGATTGGGTGAATTCCAACAAATGTAGAACAGGTGGAGAGGGTATTTATTTGTTATTGTCAGGCTATCGAAATTAGATTCAAATATCTTGAAAGCGTTATTATTCCGAATATAACATCCCTCACGAACACAGATTGGAAAATTCATAGGTTTTGTATCCAAACATAATATCGGACGATAATATCTTCATAGATCACTATATAAGATTTCTCTCACCAGCATTATTAAGATAAAGGAGTGCACAAAAGACCCCATAGGGTCGTAGGTGTACTTTTCGGATTTGATATAGTTCCCCTATCAACCTCTCCTAAGACTCATATGTATATTAAGGTCATTTGATTCTAATATTAAGTCAATTGGATACTGCACATATCTTAGGTAATCTAGGGAAGAGTCAATTATCTCTGAAGTGTTTCTAAGTAATCAAGAGAGTGATTAGCTGGATGGATTCTCATCAATACTTCTACAAAACGTGCCATATTCCCGTTAAAACGATCTATGCTTTAAACACAAACTTTTAGCTATTGCTCTGTTTATAATATTCTATATACATATATTCCCCTGCAACCAACAACGATCTTTCAAATTATGTTGTGATAAAAATTCAAATAAAATTTTCAAACTTTTCTTTCTTAAAGTTAGTAAATAAATATGCAGAAATTAAAGGCGGTGACCTAATAAAACAAAGTTTTTGTCTTCGACACATAAAATCAGCTCCGGCAACCTTAAAATCACAATGACCGTAAAGTGATGATGCGAGACTAAAAAGGCAAAGTAATTAGAGACACATACACACAAGAAGACAAAAAACCCCAAAACTAAACATGAAATTGTATAATGACCAACAGCAGCAGCAGTAGTATCCAGCTACTTTTTGGTACAGGGAATCAGTAGAAAAAAAAAAAATATTTGAAAATTGTGTTAAAGTTTGAGAAGAAAAGCACCATGAGAAATTCATTTGACCTGGACAAATTTACCAAAGAAAAAAACACACTAACTGACTGACAAGATACAAATCGATACATGGCTTATAAAATAAGAAAATAAAAAAATAGCATACAGTGGGTAACAAATGTTTATAAGAAAACTTTAAAATTTCTTTTAAAAAAATCACAATTTATTTGGAATAATTGCAGGCACTTTAGCGTCTAAAGTAGTTGATGGAATTAAACTATTTTTACCCGAAATATTGCTCATTATCTTAAAGAGATTGTTATAGAAAATCAAAGATATTAGTTTATTAGTAACAAAGTTATAGAGTAATATGTAAGCTAACCTCAAGATTTTTAAGATGACAAAACTTTTTTACTTTTTTGTGTTGCAAACAGCCTTACATCCTTAATATGTGTCTGAATTAATAGATTTTTTTCTATAATATATACTAAGTATATGGGAATCTTGTCTATAAAAATTAATAAAATCGGTTCAGTAGAAATAAAGTTATTATGAAAATTATGTCATAACCTGAAAAATGTCAAATTTTGGAAAACCGACTATTTGCTTGCTATGCTCCAATTCAAAGTAAAGCCCAGATTTGAAAAATTTCCTCCCAAAATATTAATCATTATTTTAAGCTATAGTGTATTGAAAATCAATCATATCGGTTCAGTATAACTGAAGTTCTGAAGCAAAATGTAATATAACCTAAAAATGTCAAATAGTATGATAACGTTGTAATAACGTTAATTTTCAAATTTCAACACTGAAAGAAACGATTCTTTTTAGAAGTGTTTATTATAATCCCAGGCAGGTTGATAACAAAAATCATGTAAATTGTTTGAATAGAAATATAGTTATAAAACAAAAAGTAAGACAATCTGGAACAATTTGGAAAAAAATTCGACTTTATTTCAAACTCGGTCTTAAAAATAAACGAAATTGCTCAGTTTTATCTACCACTGTTTTAGTTGCTGCTTTAAAAACAAAAACAAAATAAAAATCTTTCAAACATTTGTTGAAAATTTTCCGCATGTTCGTTAAACGAAAGAAACCCATCAATGTTGTTAATGATTATAATCAAAGCATTTACGTTAGTGAGTGATTAAACACTCACTGAACAATAACCTGGTCTTTGATGGTTGGTTGGTCTCTGGTTACCAAGAACATCAGGAACAAAGAAAGAAAATAAACAAAGCATAGACATAAACTTTTTTCACTAAAAATGTCAAAATTGACGGATGTCATCAATCAAAATAATGTTTTTTTTTTGGCCGAAAAAAACTCTTTCGAGACTGTTAATCGTCAGTCTATGGCGATATTGAATGAATATTTATGTTTTTTTTCGTCCAAAAATCAAGGTTAAATTTAATGTTTCATCATTTTATAAAACTTTAAAAGTCATAAGGAAAAGAGCCAGCCAGGCTGCTGCTGCAACATGTTGCCGTTTATAGAAAATTTTGACAGTTTGTAACAAAAAAAAAAAAAAACACCATGTCTGGTTGTGATCAAACATGACAAAACACGCTGCTTGCTGTTGCCTGCAGTTTTGCTTTAAAGCGTGCAATGTTTTTGGGAGCTGTAAGTGCAGCCATAAAACTTGTTGTTTTACACTTTTGTGCATCTTTGTGTTTCCTTAATTATTTATTGTTTTGTATAAAATAAATTTGCATATTTGTGTTGCTACTGTTTTCGGTTGTTACCGGTGCTGCTGCAAGTCCTCCATTAAATCATTAAATCGATCCAAAGTTTGATAATTTGCATTTGATGTGTAGTCTGCAGACATTGATGATTTTCTTGCAGCTTCTACTTTTTTGTCGTCTGATTTTTTTCGGTAGCAGTATAAATTTAACAAATATTTTTTACGTGGCCTAATTGATAATTAATTAAAATGACAGATGTTTTTGTGAAATAAATTACTTTAAATTTCATTTACAATATTTCACTGTGAAATCGGTTAAGTAGAAAACATGATCACAAAGAAAATTGTGAGATCACCTGAAGAAAGAATTTTGTCTCACTCATGCAAAGACAAACACGATCATGTCAAACATATAAATCTGAGTTATAAAATAGCATATAAAATCCCCTTCATGGGTGCTTTGGGGCGTAGCGTAGCTAGCGTAGTAGTTAGTTGTCTTTTTATATATTCTCTTTTTTCTAATTTCTGTTATCTCTTCTTTTTTCTAGGACGTAGTGAACCGCCGGTCGGTGTTGGCGATCCCTGTGCTGGCTGTAATAAACCAATTTTAGATAAATTTTTATTAAATGTTTTAGAACGCGGTTGGCATGCGTCCTGTGTGCGCTGCTGTGAATGCCTTCAACCTTTAACGGATAAATGCTTTAGTAGAGAATCAAAATTATACTGCAGGAATGATTTTTTCAGGTGAGTACGAAATACTTCTAAATTTCTTTTATTAACATTTTTTGGTATCTATTGACTTTGGAAACTTTCATTGAATAGTTTATTGATTTAACTAGTATACCGACCAATCTGTTGACTAGTTTATGAACTGGTCAATAGTTCATTGACTAGACCTTTGACTTGCTATTGACTAGTGTACTGATAAGTCTATTGACTATTCTACTGACCAGTACATTGACTTGTCTATTGAATGGCCTATTGATTAGTCCAGACTGTTGTTAACTGGGCCACTGACTAGTCTATTGACTAGACTACTGACCAGACTAATGACTATTCTACTCAACAGTCCACTGACAAGTCTATTGACTAGTCTACTAGGTAGTCTATTGACTAGTCAGGCTACTTGACTTAATGAGTCTATTGACCAGACTTTGGACTAGTCTGTTAATCAACCTACTGACTAGTTCATTGACTAGTCTACTGACAAGTCTAATGACCAGTCTATTGACCAGTACATTGATTAGACCATTGACTTGTCTATTGACTAGCCTGTTGATTAGTCTATTGACTAGACTACTGATCTATTGATTAAACTACTGACTAGTCAGGCTTCTAGACCATACACTTCTTTATTGACTAGCCTATTGATTAGTCTATTGATCAGACTTTGAACTAGTCTGTTAAGTAGTCTATTGACTATTCTACTCAACAGTCCACTAACTAGTCTATTGACTAGTCTACTGGCTAGTCTATTGACTAGTCTAATGACCAGTCTATTGACTAGTCTACTGATCAGCCTATTGACTAGTCTACTGACCTGTGTATTGACCATATTACTGACCAGTTCATTGACTAGACCATTGACTAGTCCTAATGACAAGAATAATGACTACTCAATTAACTGGTCTATTGACTAATCTACTGACCAGTCCATTGACCAGTACATTGATTAGACTATTGACTTGTCTATTGACTAGCCTCTTGATTAGTTTATTGACCAGACTATTGTTAACTAGACTACTGACAAGTACATTGACTAGACTATTGACTAGTCTATTGACTAGTCTATTGACTAAACTACTGACTAGTCAGGCTTCTAGACCATACACTTCTTTATTTACTAGCCTATTGATTAGTATATTGAACAGACTTTGGACTAGTCTGTTAACTTGTCTATTGACTATTCTACTCGACAGTCCGCTGACTATTCTACTGGCTAGTCTATCGACTAGTCTACTATACCATTGGCTAGTTTACTGTCCAGTCTATTGAATATTCCATTTATTAAGTCATTGACTAGTTTATTTACAAGTCTATTGCTAGTCAATTGAATAGGCTATTGAGCAGACTATTGAATAACCTCTTGACTAGTCGATTCATTAGTCTATGGACTGTTCGCATTGCACATCTAATAGCCGATTTAGGTCGGTTCCTCTAGGTTAATGAAGCCGACTGCTGCTGTTATATTATAGGAAAATTTTAATTTTAATTTGCGAACTACTTTTGGTCCCTAATAGCTGATGTTACCTATATATTGCATATATGTATTATAAGATTTTTATTAAAATTAGAAAGTTTAGCATATAACCACATTTTCTTAAAGATTCTTGACGGTTTGTTCTCTTAAATGTGTATAATTTTTCTTTCTTTCCCATTAAAAACCACAACCATAATAATATCTTTTCCAAAACCTCCCTAGGAGGTAAACCATACAATATTTTAATTTTTTTATAGTTGGTTTTTTCTTAAAGTTTATCACGATGCTAAAACTGATGAAGTGACAAGTGTATTGTGACAGCCTGATGTGATTTATTTTCCTATTTAATTGTAGAAAAAAATAATAAAACTTAAAAACAAAACTATAAAAAAAGAAAGATTTCTAACAAAAAAAAAAAAAAAAAAAAAAAAAAAACAACCAAACACACTAGAAAATCAATTAACTTTCTAACAATAAAACAGAAAAAAAGTACGACGACCATTTACATTAAACAGAGAACACACGTCAGTGTTTTAAATGTTAGAAAAAAATTTAGAATGGAAATAGTTAAAAAGCCAAATACATACTAACTAAACTACTGGCGAGAGATGATGCCTTTAAAGTAAAAGTCATTATATGCAAAAAAATAAAAAATAAAAATAAAAAATCCAACACCTGCTAGTAATTTCAAATGATTGAAAGCAATAACAATTCAAAGTGATTTAAATGTAGAAACAAAAAAAAAAAAAAAATGATTTGATAGAGTGATTGACTAAAAGTGCTGCAAAAGTAATTACTCAGGCTTGGTTTTTTTCCTCAAACAACCTTTAACTCGATTTTTTCTTTATTTTCTTTTTCATTTCTTTTCTATATATTATAGACGCTATGGTACCAAGTGCAGTGGCTGCGGCCAAGGTATTGCTCCCTCCGATCTCGTTCGTAAACCTCGTGATAAGGTGTTTCACCTCAATTGTTTTACATGTTGTATCTGCCATAAACAGCTCAGTACGGGTGAACAACTCTATGTGCTGGACGACAATAAATATATCTGCAAAGATGATTATTTACTTGGCAAAGCACCTTCGATATGTGGCCATAATTCCTTAAGTGGTAAGTAGTAGTATGTAGTACTAATTTCCTAAAGAAAATATAACAATATTTTATTAATGTTGTTGTTATTTATATGTTTGTAAATTTTTGGCTAATTAGTGTGAAAATGAATAGTTAGTAAAATTGTTTACAAATTTTACAAATGCTTTAGCATTTAAAGAAGGAAAAGAGAGAAATATACGTATGTAATGTGTGTAGAAAATGTAGCAGTTTAAACATTAGTAAGAGGAAATGTAAAAGATTGACTTCTTAGATCTTAAATAAGATCAATTTGCTTTATTTTAACTTTAATATAAATTTTGAGTTTAAGAATATTAGGTCTCATTTATGTTGTTTACATTATATAAACAATTGAAAATTAAAAAAAAATAAAATTTCTTTTAAAAAAATTTCATAATATGCAAGACTTTTTACAATTTACATGATTTTGTTACTTGTTTACATTAATTACATAATGTAAAATCTTGTCACAATTGACTTTACACGTAATGTTTTAATATCACATAAATAAATGTCTGATTTTATGTAATTCTGGTTATTATTTACATTATGTAAAATATGTAAAATTTTTCAAAATTAAAGTTTTTCTCTTAAAAGTTTCATATTTTACATAAGTTGTGCATTTTACACGATTGTTTGAATTATTTACATTTTTTACATTATGTAAAGAATTACTGTAAACAATTTAGGGTCACTACATAAATGTTTTCTTAATATACAAAGTTTTACACATGATTTTTTAATTGCTTACATATTTTACATAATGTAAAATCTTGCCACAAATGTCTATACACATAATATTTTAACATTACATCACTTATTGTTTGATTTCGTGTAATTCTGGTTATTATTTACATTGTTTACATTATGTAAAGTATGTACAATTTTTCAAAATTAAAGTTTTTCTATTATAAGTTTCATATTTTACATAAGTTGTGAATTTTACGCGATTCTTTGAATTGTTTACATATTTTACATTATGTAAAGAATTGCTCAAAACTATTTTCAATCATAATATTTGAATTGTATATTTAAAAGAAGTGAAATGTATGTATTTTTGACATTTTTTACATTGTTTACATCGTGTAATGTATGAAAAATTTCTCAAATTCTATTCTTATTTATTAAATACTACATTATTTTATATATTTACACGTTCTACACGATTGCTTGTCTTGTTTACATTTTTTACATGATGTAAACAATTGTCTCAAGTATTTTGAGTCATAATGTTTCCATTTTACATTTACAAAATCTAATTTTTAGGAATTTTTAACATTGTTTGTTATTGTTTCAGAATCTATTGAAAATTACATAATTTACATGTATTTTACGCGATTTATATAATTGTTTACATTTTTTACATGATGTAAAATCTTGTCTCTTATATTGACAATCATAATATTTCTACTTTACATCGGGTAAAGTTTAAATTTATGCATTTTTATGCCATTTACATTATGTAAAAAACAAGGTAATTAAAGGTTTTCCCCTATATCTTTTTACGAACCGATTTCCTAGATTCTCAGTAGGAAGATATACGAACCAATAACTAATATTTTATTATAAGTTTTAAGTTTACTTTTAGGCGTTTTCTTGCATTATTTACATTGTTTACATGATGTAGAATATTGGTTAAACTAGCGAGGTATTCTTAGTTTTTTGGTCATATCTTAGCCATTTATTAACCGATTTTACTAATTTTTAACAGCAAGATTCTAGAACGTTTGTCAGTTATGATTGTCTAAGATTTCGACTCAGTCAGATATCAGGGCTCTTCAAAAATTTGGTTTGAACAAACTTTCAGACAGAAGAACAAATTTTAACAATTTTGTTTTTAAAAAGTGTCTAGACTTTTCAGATTTTTTCTGTAATTGAAATCCATTTTGCAATACCTTGACTACACTGCTTAAGCAACTTCTTAATATTTTCTATATTATAATGTTTCCAGCAGGTAAACACAGCAAATCACCATCACCATCTCACATACAAACACAAACAAGTTAAAATGCTTTAAAATGGTATAAAATGTTTTAGTTTAACAAATATAGATTTTAGGTTTTAAGACAAATTGAAACAAAAGTGTTGCTGTTGTTCTACTTACTAACATTGCTGCAACGCCAACAATTGTTGTTAACATAACAAAATGTTGAACCATGTTTTTCGGTTGCCAAATATAATTGAAAGAAGCAACAAGGATACTTTTGCAATGACTGAATGCATTTTAGAGAGTTTTGTGAGATTTATGCTCGTAAATTATAGTTTTTTGTTGTGGTTGTTGTTGTAGTACTTTGTTTTGTTGTGGATTAAACACAAATACATACATATACAGAGACAAAATTTAAATCTATGTACAACAGCTTTTTAAGCAGCTATTGTTTTAATGTTGTATAACTAATAACAACAGCTCTTGTTGAGGTTTATAGTTGCTGTTGTTGCTGTTCGTTACCCTGTGTATTTCAAAACTAAAATACACAATGTATATGTTTCAACTGGGTATGATGTTGCAAATACAAGTGTTAGTACTATATATAGTATATAATATCTATAAAATGTGTATATATGTTTTTGTCACGATAAATATTAAACAATAACACAACCTTAAATAGCAAAGTGTACAAATACATACATCTATTGTTGTTTTGCAACAATGACATACATACACGTAAATACCCGGCAGTTATAAAAGGAATCTCTCTAGATAGATATTTGGAGAGAGATTGAATCGTATTTATATATTTGAATATAATATGACGCTTCTAAGAGGTAGTCAATCGTCATTTTAATATCCCCAAGTAATCTACAAAAGATCTTCTTGATCAATAAAGGATAAATTCATTCGTTTCCAGATCAGGTCAAATCTAAAGTCATAAAGTTTGGGTCAAATCTAAAGTCAGAAAGGTCGTGAAGGGATAATTTCCCTAAACGTTTTGTTATAGTCACCCCGATCTACAGGGACTTTGACAACCAATGGCTTTTTGTATGTATTTATGTATATGTGAGTGTGTGTGTGTGTTGAAATGAATCTATGTCTATGTTTGTATTTTTGAGTTTATTTGTTTAGCTTTAGTTTATGATAAAATGCATTTAGTTGAGGCTAAATCGCATTTAAGCAATTTTACTAAATAACACTTGGGGAATATTTACCAACAACAATAACATGAACAAATTACACTTTTCTAATTATACAAATATATACACATACAGAGAGATCTACCAACTATAACTATATGCACATAGATAAGTAGTTAATTATGATGATTTTTGATGAATGATTTTAAATAGCAAAAAAAAAAAAAATGTCATACACTTGGAGAAAATTAACGAAACAACAATCACCATATTACCATTATGTTATGAACAGCTTAAAACAGTGATAGGCTTAAAGAGCAGGAGAGGTTTTTTTATTCAAATAATGACCAACAAAACACGAAGTTTACAAATCTCTCGTTCAATACTAATACACTCTCATTTAAAGATTTTGGCTTTGTAATACATAGTTTTTCGAAATTTCTACCCGCGGAAACCTAACCGATCTTTACTAACAGATGGCTAGTTAAGTTTAAAAGAAAATATTTACAAAGTTCTTTAACAAAATATTAAAACCAAATTTATTTCCTTAAAGAAATTTTCTTAAATTTCCTTTAATTTCTCTCAGTGTTAATTTACCATTTTACATTTTCAATTTGAAAAATTATAGTAGAATGTGGCTCTCTGTCATGCTTTGGGTATAATTATGCATATTTTATCATTTAGCCATCAAAAACGCGATAATCATCACGACTAAAACTACAATATAAATAATAATAATAATAGCAACAACTACAATAACAATAATACTAATAATAACTCTAGCTAAAATCTCCATGATTAATTATTAATTATATGAGCCAAATACCAATGCAAAATTTATATCTATAAATACTTTGATAGAAAAAAACAACAACACACAAATTGTTGTTGAAAATATTTATACAAGATTAAATCAATTGCAAAGAAGATTTAATTTTAAACGATTTAAAATAAAAGTTGTTAATAATTTTTATGGAACTTTTAAAAAATTAGCAACATAAATGACTAGACAAATTGAAAAATTTTAATAACAAAATGTAAACAAAATGCTGCAATAACTTCAGATTTTATAGTTTAACTTTACATCAACTAAAGTTTGTTTTTTTCAAGATTTATTGCTATAATTTACATTGTTTACATTATGTAAAATTTGGTCAAATTTGAAAATTCGATTTTTTTTTTGTTAAAAATTGCTTAATATTCATTAATTACAGTTTTTCTTTAATTGTTTACATTTTTTACACGATGTAAACAATTGTTTTAAATTATTTAAGCCTTAATCTTTTTTTCAAGATTTATCGCTATAATTTACATTCAGTTCAGTCTTTCAGTTCTTTAATTGTTTTAATTTGTTTATGTAATTTATGTAAATAACTCGTTTTATTTACAATGTTTACATTATGTAAAGTTTTGAAATATTTACAAAATAAATGTTTCTTTAAAAAACAAACATTATTTAAATAAATTATACATTTTACACACTTGATTGAATTGTTTACATTTTTTACATGATGTCAAAAATTGTCTTAAATAATTTCAGCCTCAAAATTTTTACTTTACATCAACTAAAGTTTGTTTTTCCAGATTTATCGCAAAAATTTTCATTGTTTACACTATGTAAAGTTTTGTAAAATTTGAAGAATTACAGTTTCTCTGTTATAAATTGCATAATTTATATTAGTTTTATATTTTATAAACTTGATTTAATTGTTTACATTATTTACATAATGTAAAAAATTGCCTCAAATGTTATAATCCTTTAAACATTTCATTAAATAACGATTGAATTTATAGATTTATGAAAGTTATTGTAAACAATGTAACATTATTTTTGGAAAAACAAACATAATTTAAATAATTTATACATTTTACACACTTGATTGAACTGTTTACATTTTTACATGGTGTAAAAAATTGTCTTAAATAAT